TAGATACAGTGGCACAATTGTATACGGCAACACAGTGGATACGGTGGCACATTTAGATTCGAAGACACAGTTGGATACATTGACATAGTTGGATTCAACGACATTGTTGGATTCAACGACACTATTGGATACATCGACACAATTGGATTCGGTGGTACAGTTGGATACGATGGCACACTTGAAGAAGTGCCATGCATAAGAGGTGTCACAAAGTGACATGAGGCGCCACTCAATGACACCTCGACAAGAGAGTGACACTTTGAAGACGTTCCATGAACAGGAGGTGTCACCAAGTGTGAATGTGCCGTTTAATTTCGCATTGATGTGCCATCATGGCACCTCAATGATGTATCATGCACTAGAGGTGCCACAGAGTGATAGAAGATGGCACTAAGTGATAAGGTATGCCATGCAATGACACATGATGTGCCAATGTTGGATTATTGATGTCAATGTAATGAATCTCAAGGATTAAGGTTCCAGAAGCGGATACATGAAGAATTGTGATTGACTAATACCTTTCATAGGCAATGGATTGATGGGTTTGTCCCATTAGGGCTTTATGTCTGATCCCTAGTCTATAAATAAAGATATCTACTAGTCATTTGTATGTGTCTTTTGTATCCCTAGTGAGTAGGTCAAATCTTTGTTGAATTGTACTTGTAACCTCTGTTTGAGTACTCTTGAATAAAGAATACTTCCCTATTGCATGTGGACGTAGGTCACCTTAACCCAAGTTTTCATTTGGACAGTGAAACAAAACAGATCATGCAACAAGCCAACATAAAGAACCACAAGAAGTCCCCCCATAGCCAACCACATGCAAAAAATGCCAGACCTTCAACAATATACACAATCGAAAATCCTGCCAAAAAAGATGAATAAGCAAATCAAGGAACTTTGGAATTTATCACACTAGAATGAAGATTAAATAATGAGTTTGAATGCATACCCTTTATTGGATTCCATGTTGCTCTAGAACATGAAATGTGTTTTGCCTAACAAAGATCTGCAATAAATAATTAAACAAGAACATCCTCTGATTAATCACAAAGATGAATGAGTTGTGTGAATCGACAAAATCGTTGCTGAACGTGAATAAAAAAAAGTCTAACACTATCAAGTAGACAAGAACGTTGTTCCCGGATGTAAATCGACACATAGTTTGAAGAGAACACTGATCGAAAAATCGTTGCCATCATTTATTTATTTTTCACGTGTATGGTCGAGAAACGAATCGTCACTTCAAATTTCTGCTTGTTTGGTGTTCCGTTTCCGAATTGATTAACCAAAAAAGATTTGGGCGCTAAATGAATATATCTAGTATTACATACGGATAAATATATGGGCCCTCAGAAAAGAATAGGCCCTATCCGCCGGCACATCTTGAACTCCCATAAGGCCGGCCCTGGTGATGGTGATGGTTGGAGATTGTGGTGATTGGTGATGCTGGTGATAATGGTGGTGTTGAAGGTGATTAGTGGTGGTGGTAGTGGTGAGTGATCATCGGTGGTGGAAGCAATGGTAGAAGGGTATTTTTGTCTTTTTAAAATGTTTAACAACCCCTCCATCGAGGCTCTTAAAGGGGAGAACCATGGGTGTTACCAAAAAACCTCCATAGGGACCACCCATGATTTTTGGTAACATCCATGATTAAATGTCAATACTAAAACTGAAACTGATATTTCGTGTAAAAATAGGGAGCAATACTATATTTACTCATAATTTTATTAGTGATTTTGTAATTTAAATACTTTGAAGAATAATAATTTAATTGCATATAAACATGGGATATATACACTAAAGTCTCAATATTTTCATCGATTTGACAAGAAAGTCTTAAACTTTATTTTTTTGACACTAAAGTCCAAATTACCGGCAGTTTTTGACACTTTTACCCTTTTTTTCCGGTTAGCCGGTAATTATGACTTTTTTGTCAAAAAAAATAAAGTTTAGGACTTTCTTGTCAAATCGTCAATTGGGACTTCACTGTCAAAAAAATAAAGTTTAGGACTTTCTTGTCAAATCGCTGAAAATATTGGGACTTTAGTGTATATATCCCTTTTTTTGGTTATAAATTTAATGGTATGATACTCTTTAAGCATAAGAGTTATTGAAACCTTCTCTAGTCAGCTAGATCCTATTGAAATCCTTAACGTTTGCTTCTTGTTAAATCGTTTTTTTAATCTCAACAAACCGACATTGAAAAAAATGGAGATAATCAAGAAAGAAAGAAAGAAAGAAAGAACCAGAGTTGTGTTGGCTTTTTGCAGTCCCAAAAATGGAGAAATAAGAACCCGAAAAAAAAACGAAATTGCCCTTCTTTCCCTTCTCCACATTCACATCTTTTTTACTAGGCATGTGTTGTTTGTGTTTGTATAATCTGTCCTCACTTTTTAGTTCAAGATTTGGTGGCGAAGCAAGAAGAAAGTTTTACAAGTCTTTTCGCCCTTTCTCGCTTTCTCTTTTGCATATGTTTCTTCTGATCGTGATTGTGTCAGGGTAAAGATGATGATGGTAAAAAAAATAGTGGTGCTGCAACAAAAGTCACATTTAAAAGTTCTTGGGTTACGAAAATACACTAAAGTCTCAATATTTTCAACGATTTGACAAGAATGTCATAAACTTTAGTTTTTTTTACAGTAAAGTCATAATTGACGATTTGACAAGAAAGTCCTAAACTTTATTTTTTTGACAAAAAAGTCCTAATTACCGGTTAATCGGAAAAAAAGGGTAAAAGTGTCAAAATTGCCGGTAATTTAGACTTTACTGTCAAAAAAATAAAGGTCAGGACTTTCTTGTCAAATCGATGAAAATATTGGGACCTGAGTGTATATATCCCTATAAACATCATAGTCAAATGATGCAAACACATGAACATGCAAGATATCTATTCCAATTGCGCTAATTAATTAATGATATTTTACTATTACTTTCCAATTAATTGCCTTGTTATAAATGAAGGTAGTTGGTTTTACATCTATAAGGGTAATGTAAATATGTAATAATTGCTTTAAAAGAAAGGTATTAGTATATTCTTTTCGTCTCATATTAATAGTTCATGTTTCTTTTTTTAGTTTGTCTCAAAATAATAGTCTACTTCTAAGAATAAATATATATTTTTATCAAAATAACCCTCATTATTAGTTAAACTACCATGAAATTAAATGCAACTACCAAGAAATTAAAGGCAACAAAAGAGTACAACTGTCATTTCATTTAATAAAATTAATAGTAATTAATGTTTCCTGTATGTTTTTTTTTATCTGTGAACAATAGTTTTGAAACGGAAGTAATATAATAATTGTAAGACCTAAACAATAGATGATAACAATAATATTAATATTAATTAATAATAACAAAACAGCTAAAAGAAAAAACATTAATAATTATATTTTCTATGAATTGAATTATAATAATAAATTAATATGAAAAAACCAAACATAATAATAATAATAATAATAATAATAATAATAATAATAATAATAACTAGAAAAGATTCCCCGGCGTTGTCGGGGTCGGAAGGTATTGCTTTGTAAAGTAAAGTAGCATGTTGGTTGCTTTTTGTCCGTTAATGTGAGGATAATTTGGTCTTTTCAGGTAGTAGGGACTGAATTTGTCACCATGGGTAAACCATATGGACCATTTATGTAATTTTGGCGGTGGTGGTGGTGGTGGTGATGGCAGATGGTGGGTGGGTTTATGGTATTTGGTGGATATTTTCTAATAAATAAAACATTAATTTAAAACCAAAAAGAGAATATTAAATCTGGTAAACCACAGGGACCAATCGTGTAATTTTGTCTAACAATAATAATAATAATGATGAGGGACCATTTCTGCCAAAAGACAAAATACTAATAATATGTAATAAAAGGCGAGGGTTATGAAAAATTCAAACCAAAGTGAAATGGTTGTTTGTGAACAAAAGCATAAAGATGAAGGGTCAATGTTGTAAGTTGGAGGACCAAAATTGACAAAAAATGTGCCACTTTACTGTTAAAATCTTTCACAACTTTAATATATATATACTAGAAAGGTTACCCCCGCTACGCACTTTAATATATATACTAGAAAGGTTACCCCCGCTACGCGGGGGCTAGAAGCTTTCAATGTTGTTTCCGAATTGATAAATATGACAGACATAGAAAGTGCAAGGATGAAAAGTCCGGGCTTTGCCCCGGACAAAAAATGTAAAAGTTTTGACTGCAAGGACCAGAAGTGTGAAAATGGCTAAAGAATTAAAGGGGTGGGAATTAGCAACTTTTTAGAAAAGGGATCAAAGTTGTCAAACCGTTAAAGTTTTGTGGCCAAACTTTAAATATTAAAAGGTTCTAAAAAAGTGTAAAAATATTGATTGCAAGGACCAAAAGTGTCAAAATGGATAAAGAATAATGACAAAAGTTGCCAAAAAACATCCAAATTTAGTATTCCTAACTTCCAACAATAATACAGGGACCAATTCTGCCAAAAAAATGAGAAGTTGAATGGAACACAAACAAAAGGACATGAATAAATTAATTAAAGAAGTACAAGGACCGGATATGTAAATCAAGGGACCAAACTTGGACAAAATATCCCAAGTTTACTATTCCTTTCTTCCACAACTTTAATAATAATAATAATAATAATAATAATAAAATCCATTCATTGGTTTTTATAAATCAATGTATTACGTAACTTTTAAAAGATCTGGTCAATACAGACCATATATTATATCTTTTTTTTTTCACGTGTAATGCAAACAAAAAACATAAAAGGCAACTGTAACTGCAAGAATTGAATCAACGATAAACTTTTGCAACAATTGTGGATATTGGAAGCCAAAACAATCTTTGAATCAGACGAAGCAAAAAGACATGCGTATGGAAAAGAACAAGAGTCAAGATACGTTCTACTGCTATTAGATATTGTTGTTCGTTAGTCAGTTCCAGTTCTCTTTAACGGAGAAAACAATAAATAACAAAGTCATATCCTTTTAAATCACCATTCCTTGTTCGTCAATTACGGATGAAGCAAACACATGAACCACGGTGGCTGGAAAAATGCGCACTCTGGTTAAGATTCAAGCTGTTGGACATCTTTCGAACCTGCTCAGAGTGCTCAAGCTCAGCTGCAGCCCTTAACTCCTCTGCTTTTCTATCAACGACTATCATCTTTTTCATCAACTTCTCCTCATGTTTCGATCTCATCTTCTCAATCTTTACCTGCAAAATGCAAACCACTTACCCATGTCACTCGTAGAACACATGCAAGTTATTTCCATGAATAATTCAAGAAAGGTTTTCACCTCCAGCTTTCTTGATTCAGCTTCTGCTTTCGCTTTTTCGAGGTTTACCCAAGCTTGAATCTTTGCTTCCTCCATTTGATACCTACAACAAAAAAAAAATGCAACATAAAGTCGACACTTTTCAAATCGAACTAAATTCATCATATCGGCATTTCACCTTATGCAGTATTCAGACTTCTCTTTTTCTTCCCAAGCACTAGGTCTAGGCCCTGGAATATTTTCTAGACTTTCATCCTTCATCTCAAAATATCCCAGCCTCTTCGGTATGTCTTCTTCTTCTTCTTCCTCCCTCGAGCTCCATTTGGAAGTAATGATGTCAAATAGTGTCGTCCTTGGCTGAAGTTTCGCTAAATGCCACTCCTGTAAGTGGCCAATGTCCAAGGAACTGCTCTGATTCGTCAACCCCAACGGGCCTATAGTTGTAGGGGTGTTATGTCGTGGCGGAGACCGGCTTTTCAACGGTGTAGAGCACCGTGAGATGGTGGAGCTGCCAGCTAGAGTCATATCTGTCTCCGTTTTTTTGGCCTCCAGAAGCACCTCCATGGGTTCTACCTCGTCTGCAAACTTATCTGCGATCAGAAGCAGGTCAAGATATTCGTTGAATTAATTAGAAATGATCATGCCCTTATATCCATGCTTTGGTATTCTCAAATGACAAAATACAATCAAAATCCAAAAGAAAAAAAAATAACAGCAAAAATAGGTTGCAAGATATGAAGTGTAGGTATAAATATCATCGCAAATAAAGACAACATGATTTGGAAAGTGTGAAGAAGAAGACAGGAGAGAGGAGTGTACCTTTGAGAAGCATATCAGAGCTGCAATGGTGGTGGCCCAAAGATACAGTTTTTGGACCTTGAAAAATACAAGTTGCTCTTGTGACCCGTTTCTCATCATCAGAAAACGCCCCTACTTTTTCACCCTGTTGTTTTGGAGCAAAAGCTGCAGACTTTATTAAACCACGAGCAGGGGATTCATGGCCATTAATGAGCCATTTCTCAGCATTATCCCATTTTGAAGGGAGGTTCTTTCTTGACCCGAAACTGAAGCTGAAAATGGGTCGACCATGACCATGTGTAGATGGAGCTTCCACAGCATTCATCTTGGTCACAACTCCATGTTTCTGCAGCGGCATTGGAATTTGGAAACGGGTTCTCCTTCAGTCCTTCTCCACGTCTACTGAGTGTAAAACAGGAGAATTAAATAATGAAAATGGAAGAATGGGTAAGATCTTGGGATTCATAATTAATGGAGTAGGAGACTGTCGAGAGAGGAAAGAATACTGTTAAAGAAAGAATCTCTTGTATGTGATTTTACGTTTGCAACAATGAGAGTGAAAAAGGTGACATAATTTTGAGATGAACAGAGAGGTAAAGCTGCATAGCTTAACAGACTGTACTTGCAAGGTTACGTGACACCAAAATATGCAAAGACTTTTTTAAACATATGAAGACTTTTTGTTATACAATAGAAATTTAACATTCAGATTATTGAATTAAAATTTTAATTGACTTAAAAAAATGATAGTCTTGTATTACTAATTGTTTATTATCAATATATAAATCATAAATGTAAAATATATATTATAAAGCTTATTACTTATGTTTGTAGCAAATTTAAAGGAGAAGAATATCATGATTAAGGTATTATTTTACTTTCTATTAATATTAAAATGGTATATATTTTGTAATGTTTAATTTATAATAACAAAAGAATTTAAAGGTTCGGTTTACAATATTAAACTAAAAAGCATGTATTAAATTTAGGGATAATGACTTAAAATGATAATATATTTTTTGATTTATACATATTTGGTTCCTGAGTTTTTTCCGTACACATTTATCCTTTCAACTTGTTAAACTGTACGCATCAGTCCTTATGATCGGTTACTTCAGGTTAACCGGGAAAAATGACTTAATAAGGTAATATATTTTTCATTTTGTACACATTTAGTCCTTAATATTTTTGTACATATTTTAGTTCTTAATATTTTTTTTGTTTCAAAATAAGTCATTTTTGTTCTTGTACTCATTCAATACTTATAAATGATTTCTTTAGGTTTTTTCCACGACATTTTACGTGGGACAATCATTGATGAGATGTTTGAGGCTGTTGATGCTTATGTCCATCGCGATCTTGACTGCTTGGTTGTGTAGGTCTTGTGGTTTGACTTAGGTCTTATATTATGAATGTCGTGACTTCTTCATACAATATCAAAATTTGACGATCTTTATATCCACGTGTTCGTTTTTTGAGTATACTACAACTTCTGTTAAGATTACTCCCGTTAAAATGTAATATATTTTTTACTTATGATTTTATAAAAAAAAACATCCATACATGCATTCATAAAAAACGTATAGATATAAAGATCGTAAGTAAAAATATATTACTTTTTAACGGGGGTGATCTAAATGAAAGTTGTAGTAGACTAAAATACGAACGCATGGATATAAAGATCATTAAAATCCGAGATCGTATGAAGAAGTTATGACGTTTAGAACACATGACCTAAGCAACCAAGTAATCAAGATCGCAATGGACATAAGCATCAAAAGCCTCAAACACCTCATTAATGAATGTCTTACGTAAGATGTCGTGAGAAAAACCTAAAGAAATAATTCATAACTACTGAATGAGTACAAAAACAAAAATGACTTATTTTTTAACAAAAAAAATATTAAGGACTAAATATGTATAAAAATATTAAGGACTAAATGTGTACAAAATGAGAAATATATTACCCTATTAAGCCATTTTTACCGGCTAATATGGAGTAGTCGGTCATAAGGATTAAATGTGTACAATTTAACAAGTTGAAGGGGTAAATATGGACGAAAAAAATTCAGTGACCAAATGTGTACAAATCGAAAAATATATTACCCATTTATGTAACACCGTAAATTTTCAAACAAAATTTTCATTTTAAAATCACATAATTCTCATTAACACATTTTCACAAAACCCCAAAGTGTCAAATCATCAAAAACACAAATCCATAATTGTTTAATAAAATCCAGGATCCTCAAAACATAACACCATCTCGTGTGTACAATCAAGCCGGCGCCTTCCCGCGATCCTGAGAAGTACCTGAAACACATATCACATAACACGGTAAGCACGAATCTTAGTGAGTTCCCCAAAATACCACACACAACTCATTAGCCTCTCATGGCTATATCTCGAACAAGACCCTTCGGTCAATGTGTCTCAGTGGAACCCTCCGGTCCCACAACTCGGGTGGACCCTCCGGTCCTAACTTAGTAAAGCTCAGAATAACACATAACATAAATCACAAAGACATAATACAGGATATCATAATACTCAATAATAGCATATAAGACCATCCGGTCACACGAATTACCACTCAAGTTAAGTATAGTGAGAAGACTCACCTCGTAAGTAAGCAAGTAAACCTCGTACCCCTCAAACGGTCTAATCCCCGCCTACATGTCATAATCATCTCTAATTAACACTTATAACCACAACTCTAAATACATTAAGCTAACCTCTATCTCTAACTCCTGGAATAGGTAAAAGACCATTTTACCCCTCCATGGTCTCCATAATCCAAGCCTTGACCAACCCTAAAAGTCAACAGAAGTCAACACTCGAGTCAACAGTCCTTGTTGACCCAACTCGTCGAGTGCATCTATGTGACTCGTCGAGTCCCCTTGTTTCCTCAGAAGTGTCGCGAAAGTCCAACTTAACTCGTCGAGTTGTCTCATCAACTCGCCGAGTCACACGTGTCCAGACTCGTCGGGGAAAACCCTAGCCGACTCGTCGAGTCCGCTTACCGACTCGTCGAATCCCTTCAGCCCCTTTCTCATTCAGACGATTTTGGGCAGAAATGGTGTCTCATACTCTGGATCTATCCTTCCAAGGCTCACTTATCACATAAAGTGCAAGCTTTACGTTTATGCATGGCATTTATGGCTCAAAATGCCAAAACAAGCTCCTTAAGGGGTCTCATGCATGGAAACTTGTCCAAAGCTTGATAAAGCTTGTATCTTTGGGCTCATGGGACCTCAACATGTCTAGATATGGAGTCTCAACTCCATGACAAGCTCATAACACTCTAGATCTCAAAGAATCATGGGGAAAAGGGTCCTAAACTCCCTGAAACGATATCTAATTAATCAATGAGCAAGATGGCGACTTTTTACCTTCAAACAGTAGCTAAGAATGAGTAAACACCAGATCCAAAAGCTCTTTCTCGTCCAAGGCCTCTTGCTCTTCAACTCTCCTCCAAGAATACACTAAAACCCACAAAATTAGCCTCTCTTTCCCTCACACAAGGTCACAGCTCGATTAGGGTTTCTCACAGTGTAGTAGGGTGACAAAGGTGGCAAAAATGAAGGCTTAAGGTCCTTTAAATAGGACACAAACCCGGAAAATTAGGGTTTCCTCACACAGTTCCTACTCGTCCAGTCGGGGCCCTCTGACTCGTCGAGCAGACTCTAAAGTCACGCGGCCAGTTAACCCCTCTACTCGGCGAGTTGGGGCATCCAACTCGTCGAGTTGCCCTGCCAAGATGAATAAAACTGATTAAATAATATACATGGGACTCAGGATGTTACAATTTAATTCATTATCCCTTAAATCTAATATTTAAGGGTTACTCACAAAATGACCATATTAAGTTTATGTATTTTGATATTACCATTTTTTCCAAATATAAGAAAATGACCACCGAGCTCACAAAAACGTCTTGCTCGCCTCATGAACTTACATTTTTTTACAAAATCAAATGAATAGGTATGAGTCACTTGTGAGGTCATTTATTTATGCTAAAGACCCGTGATATCTCGACTATTCGTGAGTGTGAAGACAAATGATATCACGGGGATATGATTTGGACAAGGTTGAATAAATCAAACATTGAATGAATAACAACAATGGAAGCTAATAATGAATGTCAATCAAATCTGGATTATGTCCAATCAAACCTTGAAGAATAAACAACCATGTATTCAATGCAAAATATCAATAGAGAAATGTAAGAGAATATGCAAAGAGAATGCTTAGAGCATCCATAATGGTGAGTTCAATGGAAGAGTTGAATGAGGTGTCAAGTCTATGTGTCATTTAATGGATGAAACTCTACCATTATGAGATCCACCTTGACATTCAATGGATTTGAAGTTCAGTGACCATTGAACTCTTCAATAGGAAAAGGAAAGTTTTTAATTCATAAATATTTACTATAAATTACATTTTTTAACATTCAATTGAACTTTGTAGAGTTCAATGCATTGTAGGAAAAAATGATAGAGTTGTATGGATTGTAGAAAGATGATGTGACAATACATTTAACTCTACGGAGTTCAATGCATTGTGGATGCCCTTATGAGAGAATGCCAACTTGATTCTTGACTTGATAAAGATGGTAAAAGCTGTGTTTTAATACAAGATGATACTCCTATTTATACTGCCTAGGAATATAATGAATAAAGGAGACAACAAGGAAAATACAGATTACAGATCAACCGTCTGACAATGCATTGAGGTTGATCTTGTCTCCTACAGCTATTACATAGTAGTGGACAAATACAACAAGAAAAAACAATACTAGTCTTTAAACTTTTTACATTCTCTCAACTTTGGAATTCCAACCGGCTCAGAAAGTTCTTCATGTCGAAAGCACACTTATCTCATAAACATATATACTACAGATAGTCTAATGGTCACTTTTCTTGTACTATTAGTGAGAACTAAATCCACCATCTTTCATATGCAAAAAATATTTAAATCAAAATTCAATGGACTTGTTAAAGCCTCGTGGTCTGTCTAACTATTCGCAAGTGTGAATTTTACCTCTGTTTAAGTTCCAATGGAGAAACACATTAGACTCGTTTTGAGTAAATCACGATAAAAAGGAATGAAGGAAGAAATCGATATTCTTCGATGTTTAAAAGAATGACATTGACTCAAGATACGATTGACTACATTTAAGGAGAAGTCTATGACTTAACATTCAGAAGAAGCATACAAATCACTTATGCTGATAAAAAAATGCAATTTTGTTTACAACAATAAGTCAGACTTGGTTGCTCGTCCGAACCATTTTCGAGACGAGTTGTGTTTATTAGTGGTTTTTTAAATGACATGAAATCACAAGGATCAAAACCCTCA